GTAGAGGATACTCTTATAGAAAGTGGTTGCGTCAGCCCATGTCCTCCAAGAAGCAGATGTGAAGACAAGATAAAAGTAGACAAAATATGTTCACGGAAATGCCTATGAAATAGAATGTTAAAGGGAGCCAGTGGATTGCTTTAGCTGTAAATCTGACCCCAAGTTAAGGAAGGAGGGAAGGTAGGAGGAAGAAAGGAAGGAAGGAAGGAAGGAAGGAAGGAAGAAAGGAAGGAATAAAGGGAGGAAAGCTGGAAGCATCTTAGACTAGCTCTAAGTTCCAATGAGAATTCAGCAAGGTCATTAGAGAATCCTTAAGCCAAGGTTGGTCATCAGAGGATCCATGTCTCCTAGGAAGAGGTCTGCTTTAGTACCCCTGGTAGACTCAGTCATTGACTGGAAGTAGCCACTGGGAGGAGTGCCTTGGAGCAAACATGGCAATGAACTTCAGAGCTCAGCAGTTTAGGCCCTCAGTTGATTACACTCTCATACATGAACATTTGAGAGGCACATTCCCATAGCCACAACAGCCTCATTTTGGTCTTATTCAGAGACCAAAAGGTGTCTGAGTAGCTGGTTCCCCAAAATGACTTGAGTTATTCAAAGCTCAGATAGGAATTTCTATTCTAGTCCAAAGGAGAAAGCAGAGAAAATAATACTAAGTAGAGAAATGAGACTGAAAACTGGAATGGGGATACTCTAAGATCACTCATGCTTTCTTTCAACAAATGTCTACTGACTACATGCTATGTACAGACAACGTTCCAGGTTCTAGAAATACAGTGGTAAATAAGGCAGTGAGTCTGCCTGTAGTCTTTGAAGGGCTTATAGACCCGTGAGGCAATGATGAGATTCTGTGATAAGTTTTATTAAAGGGATAAATACAAAATGCTAAGGTTGCACAGAGGATGGATACTTAACCTTGTTGAGTATTGGGCTGTTCAGGAAGGCAGGTTGGGACCTCAATACTGTCTAGCCTAATTCTATCCTCATGCTACATCTGAGCAAACAAAAACCCAGGTTGGTAAAGTGCCTTGATCAAGGTCAGGCCTTCTGTTCATTATTGAGGGATGGGTTTGAGAACTCAGGGTTCTTGAATTTCACTTTATTTCTAGGCTCTGTGCCTGATGGCAACTTAATTATTGCTGGTCCTAGGTAAGCATCCATTGCTCCCAGAAGAGCCAGGGGTTGTTATTATTTGCTTTGAACCTATTAACAGCAAGACCAAAAACATGGATGATTAAAAAATCAAGTTGATGATGCTGCCTTTTAGAACTCTTTGAGGGTTTCTGAACAATCAGGAAACTTTAGCCCATATTTTCAGAATATGCTGTCAGGGAAGGTCATCTGAATCATATCCATCAAATGTTGGGGATGACTCATTGTCAAACAAATCTCACTTTAAAAAAACTTGTCTTTATAAATACACAAGAAGAAATCACTTCTGTTGTTTTTGAGAGGGTTCTTCATTTCCTCTGCCTTCCCTCTGGCCCCCACCCTGAGCCCCTCAAACAAAAGTTCCTGCAGAAGAGGTGCACACTCCCTAAGCCACCAATAAATGGCCTGACTGGCTTTGGGTGCCCAGCATCCCCCAGAGCAGCTGCCCTCCCCTCATTTTGTTCTTCTCTGGCCCTATTGGGGCTGACTCACACTGAAGCCTGAAGGCTTTGCCACTTCAGGGTTATGGCCTGTGGGGAAGGGAAAGAGCTGCTTGCTGCCGCCAGTGGGTAATTTAAGATATGCATGCAGCCCAATAAGAGGCTGTTACTCAGAAAAGGCTTCCAGGCAATTTACGCCAAAGAGTGAAAGTTCCCAAAGAGAAGCCTGAGGCTGTATTTCCCTGTATTTCCCTTTATTGGGTCGTCAGTGGTAAGGGGTCTTCTCATGTCCTGAGCACCTTTTCTCCCAGTTTCTTCTTCTGGATGGGTTCCTTATCTAAACTCCTCCTTGATAGAAGAAGATGTTTACAAGCACAGCCCAATCTACTCATTCTCCTGCCTTTAAACAAGCTTTATTTAATTTTGCCAGAAGTAAAACCCACACACTAAGTTTCTCAAGGAGCTGCAGCAGGTCGAATTATGGCACCTCTTTGGCATATAACGTTAGAACAACAGAAAGCATAAATAAACCAACCCCATCCATTTGACTAGAATTAGCAAATCCCTTCCCCCACAAATCCAACTTTTAAAAAAATTATGTATCCTTGTAGAAGATACAGAAACAAAAGATGGCTAAAAGAAAAGTCTGTCATTCTTCCCACACTCCCCTCACCTCCAAGATTTTTACTGCAAACATTTGGTGTACATCCTCTCATTCTTTTTTGCCAGGTCCAAATATATACACATAAATACACATACCTGCTTTTTTTCAATTATTCTGGGGCATATTTTCATGTTAATATAGTTTTACAGAATAATTTTTAATGGCTACAGAATATTTTATTATTTAGATGTACCATGACTGATCAACATTCTATTGAATATTTAGGTTGTTTTCTATTTTCAGAAAAACCCCTTTTATCTTCACCCCAAGTCTCTCCTACCACCATAGAAATTTACTTTAACAAAATGGAAACATGTTGGCTACTTCTCTCAAAATCACTAGTTCTCAAGGAGGGCTAATTCTACTCTCCAGGGGACATTTAGCAATGACTGCAGACATTTTTGGTTGTAAAAACTAGGGGACTGCTACTATCTTCTTTGAATAAAGACTAGAGATGCTGCTAAACATTCTACAATGCTCAGAACAGCTTCCCACAACTGAGAACTATCCAGTCCAAAATGTCAGTCATGCTGAGGTTGAGAGACTCTGCTCTAAATATTGATCTAATTGTTGTTATAAACTCAAGTGAGCTGTCCATCAGAAGATCTCCCCACTGGTCCCCTTTCTCAGAGTTCCTTGTTGCCACTTTTTCACTTCCATTCATCAAATACATAGAACACTGTGCTGGACACAGAGTGATAAAAATTTAATTCCTTCCATGCACTGAATCACACCTTGTGTTGCAAAAGCTCTTTTCCCAGATCAGTAAAAACTGTGCTTTTCCTTGTCCATGTTGCTCTTAGCAACCAAGCTCTCAGTCTTTATTCAATTACTCAGTCTGTAGTCACATGCTGTTGAGTTACAGGATCCCTCTTACAGCCATACCATTCTCTTTTCTGGCCTCACAGAGAATTTCAAGGACTTCACTTTACTTACTGGTTACTCCATTCCCCATGTTGGTCTTCATTTACTCCTTTTCCCCTCTACAAGGCTGTATAATTTCCCCCCTCCATTCCACCTATGAAGCTATCAATGGTCACATGCATCCTTGATACCTCCCCTTCTTCTAAGAATTCAGAATCTATTCTCCTGTCATAGGCTAATCCTTCCACAGACTTTTTATGTAGCACCCCTTTATGCCTCCTTTAGTCACTGCCACCATGCTACAATGTGGCACACTGCAGCATCCTCAAGGGGCCTCTACTAGAGCAAAGCTCAACTTTCTTTCCCTGTCCATGATGCACTGTGTTTTGTCAACTTGGCTAAGGCTGGAAGCCATGTTTCTCAGGACACTCTTCCCTGTATGGCTGGGTCATTGATTGCCAGTAGAGGAACTGGTGTGAAATTTGGAGGGCAAAGGTGAAACAGAAGACATTGTTTTCAGAAGGTCATCACAGTTAGACATGATGACAAAGGAACAGATGCAGAAGTGCTAAATGGGTGCCAGCTTGTTCTTGCTTGCCTCCACTTTGGGTCTAGCTCGTCTTCATGACTGCTAGCCCTGCTGACCAATAACTGCCCCAAGTCCACCAGCAGACCCACAGAGGCAGCAGCTCCGCAGAGCCAACAGCTACCCCAGAAGCAGCAGTTTCCACAGAACTCCCTATGAGCTCCCATTCTGTGGTCCCACTTAAGCAGCCAGACCTGCTTCTTGTATTTTCCTGCAAGTTCCAAGTGGCCACCTGCACCAGGTCTTTAGGTAATCTGTTTAATGACTGTTTGAGCCTCCAACTCCCTCTCTCCAGACCACTTCCCCAGCCCCTTTCACATTTGTATAGAAACCAATTTCTATAATGAATGTCTAATTTCTATATTACTTATAGTAGCTGCATTTCCCTGAGTGAACCCTGTCTTACGTACTTTAACTGATCGTCTTATTCAAAGAACTGCATTGAGCCTTACCATGGTTAATTCATGCCAAGATAATGAAGCTTTAATTGCAGATACAGTCATATTCCCACCTCCTGGCCCTAGGTCACCTGAGATAATCCACCTCAAAAGCAAATGACCTTGCACAAGTTTCTTAACCTCATTGGTTTTAATTTCATTACCTGTAAAATGAGAATAATAGCACCTCCCTCAAAGGTTTGTTGTGAACATTAGAACAATGCCTAGCTTATAGTGAGTACTATGAAATTACTCGCTATCATGATTATTATTAACGTTATTATTATATGTTTTCAAATGACGCTGCTCTTTCATGTCTCCTGACATTGCTGTAGCTTGGGCTTTCAGTATTTTTAACTATTGCAAAGCCTCCTAACTGATTTTAACTCCAGTTTTACCTCCACAGTGTTGCCAGAGCAAGCTTCCCAAGATCAATATTTTCTGTACAAAACTCTTCAATGGCTATCTATGATCTAAAGAATAAAGTATACAGTCCTTTGCTTGCCTTATAGAACTCTGCATGTTCCACCCCAATCTCTCTACCCTTATCTCCTCCATGTATAATTTATGCGTGGTTTGTCGACAATGTTCTGGGTCTTTATTAAAGACATCTCCTCTTACAGCATCCCCTAACTTTTCACTAACAGACTCCAATTTGGAGTTTGGTTCAACAACCTCCCCTCTAAAAAACTTTCTTTAAAACCTCAATCCATTCCCCAGGCCTATCACAGCCACCCCTTCGTGTTCTTAGACCTTTAGAGTATAGTTTTAATAGTAATGATCTGTTTACTTATCTCTCCCACATTAGACTTTGAGCTCCTCCAGGGAAATGACAGTGTCTCATTGATTCCTAGATACCCCAGTGCCAACCCAACACCTTAATAAATGTCTGATGAATGAACAAATGATTGAATGAAAACCCTTTGGAAATTCAGATATTGCTATTCAACTCTAAGAGTGAAGACTGAGACTTAGCAGGGTAAGTTCCCTTTATAATAATGCTTGGTGGAATTTTTTCAACACCATGTAAGAGCAGGAGGATTTTGTCTTGTTTTCTACTTGCATTATCCAGCTTTAGCATTTCCCAATTGTCAGTATTTGCGTGAGCTATGTTCACAGGAAATTCTCTGGAAATGCCCCCATGTAACCCCAAAGGCAATCTGCCTTCTACAGCAAAATCCACAGGGCTATTTATTATGTGCTTATTTGTTTCCATGAGTAATATAACATTGACAACTGAGATTGGGACATTTCCAAAAATCAAAAACCTGCTGTGGATTGAGGCTTCCAGAGATCAGCTCAGAAATTAGTTCCCTTTTCCTACTTCTAGGCCCAACCCTCCACTCCTAGTTATACTTGCCAAGCACTTGTCGAGTTTGTTACCTAATTATGGTCCTGCTCCATCTCTCAGGCCCCCTGAAGACTAAGTCTCAGGCAGAGTAAGCATGACCAGCCTTCTTCCTAGTCATTTCAGGGTAATAGTGTAAAGGCCTGGAGGATGAGTGGAAGGGCCTAGAAAGCATAATTTGCAAACCCCATGGTGCCTCTCATTTGAAATATTCTGTTTCTAGAAGGTTCTTGCTAATAGTACAGAAATGTATTCCCTGGAGATGGTGGATTCTTTCAAGGGAAAGAGACGGAATAGTATCTTCAAAAGAAATGAAACTTGCAAACTGTTTTAAGGGATGAAGCGTGGAGAAAGATCCTGGCATGGAGGAGGTGGCAGGATAGACAGGCGGGTGTAAATTGTGAGTAGGATCAGAAGTAGTTGGTATGAGAACTGGGAATTAGAAGACAATTTTCTTTCCTTTTTTTAATTCACATATTTTTTACAAGTTTCTTTAGCTTTTTTTTTTTTTTTTCAATTATTTTTAGTTCCAGGGTACATGTGCAGGATGTGCAGGTTTTGTTGCATAGGTAAATGTGTGCCACGGTGATTTGCTGCACCTATCAACCCATCACCTAGGTATTAAGCCCATCATGCATCAGCTATTTTTCCTGATGCCTTACCTCCCCACTTCCTCCTCTACCCTACTGACAGGCCCTAATGTGTGTTGTTCCCCTCCCTGTGTCCATGTGTTCACACTGTTCGGTTCCCACTTATAAGTGAGAACACACGGTGTTTGATTTTCTGTTCCTTCGTTAGTTTGCTGAGAATAATGGCTTCCAGCTCCATCCATGTCCCTGCAAAGGACATGATCTCATTCTTTTTTATGGTTATATAGTATTCCATGGTATATATGTACCACATTTTCTTTTTCCAATCTATCATTGATGGGCATTTGGGTTGATTCCATATCTTTGTCATTGCAAATAGTGCTGCAATGAACATACATATGCATTTGTCTTTATAATAGAATAATTTATATTCCTGTGGGTATATACCCAGTAATGAGATTGCTGGGTCAAATGGTATTTCTGGTTCTAGGTCTTTAAGGAATCGCCACACTGTCTTCCACAGTGGTTGAACTAATTTACATTCCCACCAGCAGTGTAAAAGTGTTCCTATTTCTCCGCAGCCTCGCCATCATCTGCTGTTTCTTGTTGTTTTAGTAATCACCATTTTAAGTGATATGAGATGTTATCTCATTATTATGGTTTTGATTTGCATTTCTCTAGTGATCAGTGATGTTGAACTTTTTTCCATATGTTTGTTGGCTGCATAAATTAGAAGACCATTTCAATATTAAATGACTTTAGTGCCTACATAGTAAATGCAGATGACCACAGACTCCATTGAGCCTACTGTTGCTTCCAGGTGAGGAGTGATTGTATTAATAATAACAGTTAACATTTTGGGAGCTGATATGTGTCAGGCATTATACATATAAGCGTTATCTCATTCAGTGCTCATTACAACTTTATACAGTGGGATTATGATTATTTCCATTTTAAAGATGAGGACATTTAAGTAAAGAGAGGTCAGGGAACTTGCCCCAAGTCAGTTAGCCAGACAGCAGGTAGAGCCAAGTTGTAAACCCGGGGCATCAGATTCCTAATTCAACAGCTTTCAACTGCTGCACTCTACTGTAAATGAATTCTGGAGTCCAGTTATGAAATAGTGCTCTCTCCCTTTAGCAGCAGCCAGCAAATCTTTGCCTCCTCAAGTAAGGTTATAAGAAGAGCACAGGTTCTCTCCAGGTTTCGGTCCTGCTCACTCTGTGTTTGCTGGCTTTCTGAATTTTTGAACCCTGCCTCAACCTCTTTCCACTTCTCCTGCATAGTAGGGGGCCCAACTTGTCCCATTTTGCTCAGTTTTAGCATTGAAATCCCTGGTTGCAGAAAACCACTCTGTTCGGGGCAAACCGGAAGAATTGGTCACCCTACTTCATTTCAATCCCTTACCCTTCCTTGTATTTAATTGTATCTGATTTCTTATCCTCTGACTTGCCCATGTGTTTGGCAAAACTTAGTTCTACCTACACTGCCCACTTTGAAAGTAATGTATTCCAAAATTTTACACAGAAAATGTCAAACTTTCTTAATATTCCTATAAATATATTTACAAGATGATTATGACCTCCCCAACATATATGTGTGTGTGTATCCATACTTTTTTATATATAGCTATAGCTCCTATGCATATGCCTTGTGGTTTTCTTTTTTTCTTAGTTAGCATTCTTTCCCATTATGCCCACAGACACATATGTATTTAAATGTGTCATATTACAACTTATTGATGTTTCAATTTGCTTAACCTGTTGAGTGTTTAGGCACTACTATTGTGCTATTCTCTCATGGGGAAGTGGGAAGAGTACTGGCCCTAGAGGAAGAAGATCTGGGGATTAATGTCAGTTTTGCTCCTTACTAACTCCGTCCATTTTCTCATGAGAGCAGATGGTGATAGTATTTTCCCTGTTGAACTCCCTGGGGTGTTAAGCTCAAATAGCATTGTGAGTATGAAAGCTCTGGGTCAACTCTAAGTCACTACTGAAAAAGATATTATTATCATAAAAGGTTCCACTGTGGAACAAAATCAAAAAGGAGAAAATAAACATCAAGCTTGATATGGTTTGGCTCTGTGTCTCCACCCAAATCTCACCTTGAATCATAATAATCCCCACAAGCCAAGGGCAGGACCAGGTGGAGATAATTGAATCATGGAGCCCGTTCCCCCAACGTTGTTCTCATTGTAATGAGTGAGTTCTCGTGAGATCGATGGTTTTATAAGGGGCTTTCCCCTTCATTTGGCACTCATCCTCTCTCCTGCCACCCTGTGAAGAGGTGCCTTCTGCTATGAATATAATTTTCCTGAGGCCTCCCCAGCCATGTGGAACTGTGAGTCAGTTAAACCTCTTTTCTTTATAAATTACCCAGTGTCAGATATTTCTTCATAGCAGTGTGAGAACGGACTAATGCAAAGCTTGTTACTGAAGGAAAAACATAATACTGTGGCATGAACCCTTCCCAACATTTTTTTCTATGTCTATAGAGATATATATTAATTTATAACAACTCAGTACACTTGCTTTGCATTTTGCTATTTCTTACTTACACTATTGTGAATGTCTTTGTATTTGATGCTAATAAAATGCTAACTTAACATTATAATGAATAATGACTACATATAATTCTGAAGTTGAAAGTAGCATGATTTATTGTAACAATATTATAATTTGGAACATTTAGATTATTTTAATATTATTCATGCTAGAATGAATACTTTAAATTATATTCTTAATTATTTCCTTAGGATACATTCCTAAAAGTGGAATTTTGAGGTTAAAAGTTAAAGTACATTATATAAATCATGGCTTTTGGTAAATGTCAAATTTCCCTTCAAGAAATATTGTAACAATATATATACACACTAGGGGTTCATTTCTCCATACTCTAGGCAACATTAGATATTAACATTTGAGTTTGTTTGGTTTTTGCTTGTAACTTTGGTAGGGCAAACGTGTCATTCTTGTTATTGATTTAATATCAGTGCTCTTTTCATTGAAGGAAGGAGACTTCCTATTTTGGTTTTCATTTCTCTAATGGAGAGATATATACTATCAAAAGACCTAAAACTATCTCTTTTCATTTTGTTTTACTATACTTATTTGAAAGATATACATTTTATGTTCCTCTTTCCAGTGGTTATCTTAAACATTTTACTATACCAATTCAAATATACATTTTTAATGTGTCAAATAAATACATTTCTACATCCCCCTGACAAGCTCAGGATTTTCGTTTACTTTTACATTCCTGTGATTTCTCTGCCCTCATCCCCTAGCTCAGCTGTTTGTTTTCTACCTATGGCTATTAAGTCTTTATAGTTCATTAGGCTAACTGAAATTCTTCTAGTCCACGATAAAAGCTAAGCTGGGGAGAGGACAGGAGAGACCATGCACTATGCAAATTATCTCTATGGAGGCAACTTAAGCAAAATAAAGAAGACTTTATTATCTCATCCTCTCATATATCCAAAGGTAGGAAGAAAGTCAGACATCTATAGGGAATGGAACCAAGAAATCAAAAACAGTTGAGAACTCAGCATGCACTTCTCATCTCCCATCCCCTCTTCTTTTAGTACATCAATGTTTTTCTGTAACTTTTCTCTGTTATTCAGTCTTACAATGCAGAAATCTCCCTTGAGATTCATGGGAATGACTAGAGTGAGACTGGAATTTCTTTATCCTACTTCCAAATTTCCAGAAAAGTGACTATAATTGACCTAGTTTGAGTCAGGTGATAACTCCCAGACAAATTGGCTACAACTGAGGGTGAGATTGCCTGGCAAAAATTTGGCTTCCTATCTCTGTGGAGTATGGTCATTTCCCAGAGAAAGATCCTACCCAGTGAATACCCACCACAGAGTGAAACTCCCAGAAAACAAAAGCATTAAAGCATTAGAGTAAGAACCTTGGTGTGTGAATGAGATATAGAGGTCAACAAGCACAATGATTCTTGCTTGAGTAACTTTTTTCAAAGTACACCTGTTTAGGCTGTACCTGGATCTACTGAGCCAGAATGTATGGGGCAAAGAAG